AGCCTTATGGGGATATTAGTGCTCACCGTAGACGGAGCAGCATCATCAGTACTTTCTTTGTTCTTTGAAGAACTAGAGTTTTTGAAAGAAGAAGCCATTATTAACAAAGGGAAATAAGGTTCTCTCTGAAGAAGAAGAAGGTTGAAAGCAAGAGTGAGTTAAGTAAAGAAAGTTTGAGAGAGTTTGAAAAAATATGAAGTATAAAGGGAGAAGATTGATGTGTATAAGTAAAGGAATATGCGGCTAAAATCGTGGCCATGATTACCTCGAGAACTGGCGAAAGTATTACTGAATCATGGGATGACGCGTGTTCGGGGCATTAAATGCGGAGAGATCTGCATCTAATCAACCGTCAGAAACTTTTCAAAGGAGGTCAAAGAATTTTCCGCCAAGAAAGGTATCAATATCTTCACCAACTTTCTGGTGACACAAGGATGTGTCACCGAAAAGTAGGGGGATTATCTGTATAGGGTAAAATATGTTCATATTAAATGCTCGCATAATAAAGAGACACGTGGAGCCGGAGGCAGACGAAAAGCGAAACAAATGACAGTCAGTCCAAGGGTAACAATCTCGTTTGTTCCCGAAGGGAGTGTTGCGCATAATGACAAAATAAATGCCTGCCACCCGGTAACATTTAATGGAGAATATTCTATATCATTAAGTACATAACTCGTTACAAAGAATATGGCATTTATGGCATGCCGTTACACATTCTTCAATGACCTCCATAATTGTCATTTAAGAGGGGCTTGATCGTAGGACCTTGTTCCCCAAGAGTAACTATAAATAATGAGTTCAACAACCATTGTGACACAAAAATTTTGTGACAAGCTTATGCAATATATTGTTCAAAGCTCAATAATATTATCTTCTTGCTTATTGATATCGTTACTACTGCCTCCGAAAGCTCTGCTCCCGGAACCAGGATTTATGTTGTCTTATCTCGATTTCAACGCTAAATCTTATATTCTTGTTTAATTTATTTATCATTTTGGGATCAAGTCAATTCATTTGTCTATAAACCACATATAAATTCAATTATATCATTTTACGGGTAAACAGTACCCACTATCACATATACTAATTTTAATATAATCGAACATTAAAAAATAATTAATCTTTGCATAAAAATCACTATATAATTAATTTTTGCATAACTTATTCTTACCTAACTTATCTTTGAACCAAAGAAAAAGAGATATCGAGTTGATTCTTGAGGTGTGGTCCGGATGAAGTACAGCTCCCTCTGTTTTACAAGAATGAACCTTTTATTATTGGGGGAGTCAAACAATTTTTTTTGACCATATTTTATTAAAATAATTTTTAAATATTTTAAATTATTTATTATTATGACTTATAGTAATTTATGTAGTTCCTAAATATATAAATTTTATTTCAAAAAACTTAAAGAATCTATGTCTTTAGTCAATTTGATTCTTGTGCTCCGAAATAATTCAAACAATAATTCAAATGAAGGTACGTACAATAAGCAATATCAATTATCAAACTTACGAAAATATATCAATTCTCTCACAACAAAGAATTATTATCTGAAAACTAGATCCAACCGCAAAAAAAACATTTTAATTTTATCAAAATAGGCTAGCTTATGCAGCTTGCTTTGTTCTCAATTAGAACAAAAGAATAAATTGTCACAACTAGTGATATCCTCTACGCTACCAATACAATCACTTGGTCCGCCAACAAGAGTAGTCTCATCACGAAAAGTCATATTAACATTACAAACATATTTCAACCCACCCAAATTAAATCCATTTCTTCCTACACCTCCCCTATAATAAATATCAAACCTTAGCTTAAACATTTCCCATTCATGCAATTTCCTATCACTTGCAAGTGCTCTTGGAACATATAAATCTGTTTCCATTTTTGCTGGACTAGCAGAAGCATTAACCAACGTCGTCTCTTCAATTGCTTGATAAAATTCTGGTGTTGGTAATGTCCACATAATTTTCTCATCAAATATGACCCAAATCACTCCCTTATCGTAAAAATATTCCACGTCTCGTCTGTTCGTGGCGTTGAACGTGACATTACATCCGGCGATAAATGTTGAATTCATTTTGGATTGTAAATCGTAAATGACCATTGATTGTAAATGAATTCCATGCATCTCGATGATTTGAGTGTTTGATTGATTGATCGTTCTTGACATGCTAAAATCTAACAGCGCGAAGAGGCCTACTACGAGAACAAAAACCATGGTCGCAACAAATAGGAGAGATCCAACTTTTTGTGACACGCTTAGGTGTTCGAATTCCGAGGAATTCGAATCTGTCCAATTAACGTTGTTGTTTGTCTCTGCTGGGGTTGAAGTGTAGAACGATGTTGGTAATCTTTCATAGGATGGGTTTGAAGATACCCTTAATGCTTCCATTTTGAAATTTTAAAAAAAAAAAAGTAGATAGAAAGGTTTCTTTCTTGGTTCTTGAAATTAAAGACCTAAAAGAAAAAATGGGTTATATATTGCAACAACAAATTAAAGCCAATGTGTTGTTGCAACAACATTGATGATTAATTCTGAAGGAAAAAAACTTTGAGGAAAAGGTGGTGGAGAGATGGTAACTGATTATGGACTTCGGAAATATAGATCTTACCACCAACATACATGATATGCCCGAGAATTAAGGTCGTTAAACTATAAATCCTTAGAATCAGCGGAGACTTGTATTTTTTAAATATAATGGTACTTTAGAAGCTAAAATTATGGATTTTATGCCAACGAGGAAGAGGAAAAAAAGGGGGGAAAGGTAGAGCATGAATATAACGTTTAAGAACTTGTGAAGGTTTAGAATTGTCTTGGCGTTACTTCGTATATGGATCATTATAAGAATTTGAATAGTTAATCATTTTATTAGCTAAGATACAAGCTAAAACATATTGACCATTTGTTTGACTCACAGGATATATTTTCATAAATGGTTTTTTCACCTGCTATTTGTTTCTTGATCCACATAAATCCTGATCCTAGCCCTTCCATTCTGTAATTATAGTTCTACATAATGAATTGATTTTGACCAAATTTTTTAAATGTATTATGTTGTCAATATGAAATTAAAAATACCGTTACTTGTAGTAACACACTAATACTTTTCATATGGTCTTTATACTTATATTTTCTTTCCAACAAAATATTTTTATTTGACTCAAGTCCAGTAATTCCATTATATAGACTCTAAAAAGGTAGAAAGAGGTTAAATATATGGAACGAAGTGTGTACTTCGTCATTAATATAGAATATAAAAATGAGCTAGAATAAACATGTGTCTAGGTCCTATGACGTAAATTAAATAAATGGATTTAACTTATATACATTAACATCAGAGACGGATCTAGGATTTAGATGTTACGGGTGTCATATTACTTTGAACATAGACATGTTCTTATTTATACAATCCGAATAGAGTATATTTATATGATCCAAATAGAATAAATATTTTATATTTAGTTTTCGCTCGAATTATTTGTCTTTCAATTTATTCTGACAAATCAATTAAACGAAAAATGTACTAATTATGACAATTCGACGCAATAAGGGGTTTCGTTCTAATGGGAGAGAAGATTCTTGGGAGAAAAAAATTAATTAATATATATGTGTGTGTGTTTTGAAAAAAATTGGTGGACTTTTTTATCCTTTAAAATAAATTTCATATTGAAAAAAAATTATTAATAGTTTTTAATATTTAGAACTTTAAGATTAACTAAAAGTATAGTTATTAAATTTTTTTTTTTATTTGAGTAGAAAGTCCTCAACTTTAAGTTCCAATAAGCTTATATAAATAATTTTCTTATTTAAACTATGCAACACAATTATCATACCTTTTATGTTAATTTTCCTAATATTAAATATCAATTCTAAGAGAATATAAATTGATAATAACGATCAGAAAACAGTGAAGTGTAGTTTAGGTTACTTTTGTAATTGTAGTCAAATTTATTATCTATCTGATACTGGTTCGATCACTCGCCTTAAGGATGACAAAGTGAGCTTCTACCACGAGCAGCTTAATGACTTTTGTTACTGCGGGTGGCAACCTTTTTATTTAGCTGATGTCTGGCATATAAATACATATATACATATAATTTCTACCAAAGCTTGCGGGTGATGGGCCTTAGTAGATCCGCCCCTGATTAACGTGGTAAAGATAATTACACTATTAGTATAATCAACATTACGTACCTTTCTTATGACATGGAGTAGCATATTAAGTACCTTCCTTACTTTCAGGTTACTAGTTTTATTTATTAAGAAAATTTATCTGTATTCATTTTCTAGGTGACCTAATATTGAAAAAATTCTTTTATACCGCCAATGTATAAAATTATACTCAAAATAAATGGTGGCCAAACAGAATTCAAAAGGTGATATGAGGGCGGCAGGGAGCGTTGCATATATTGATGACAATTGATGGGTCCAAAAGAAGCTGCAAATGATAGGCATTAACATGTACGGGGGAATTTCAGTGGCAATAGGCTAAGCCACGAAGATGTAGTAATATTAATCAAAACTTCATCTTTTAAACCACAAAATGAAAAGGAAAAAAAAGAACACCAATTGGCAATTGGCATACAATTCATCGTCTTATCTATTAAAAGATGAGATTGATCTCTTGTTTGGATTTCTTGTGCTATTTTGGCCCTTCACTTAGATACCTCTTGGATAACAAAGACACACTCTACATCTCTTACTCTAAATATCTCTCCCTGTAGCTTTCTCCTTTGCGCTTTTTCCCATTTAATTAATTTGTTTGCATTCTCATCCTCTTATTCTTTTCTCTCTCCAATTTTTTATATTCCTCTTGTTTGTCCATTTCCTTCAAAAGATAAACGACTAAAAATGTATCAAAACCAGGAGTATCATTTTCCCTGTTTGTGTTGCCACCCTCATAGTTATATTAGAATGGTATACCTTCTTTGTCTCTCTCATTTACTCTTGTTATGATTTGAATTTTTTTTCCCATCCCAATTAAGATTGAGGCGGATCCAAAATTTACATTTTTAAGATTTTTAATATTGAACTCATCATACGATTGAAACTATGATTTCAAAATTTAATATTTGTTGAAATTTTAGTAATAATTTATGTATATATCTAATAATAAGTATAAAATATAGTGAGATAAGTTGAAGTCATTGCACATCCGCCTATGTTATCAGGATCAGTAAGTGGCTTTCTACTTAATTATGCTAATGAAGGCGACTTGGCAAACTCCTCTCGTCCTCGTACTCCTTTTATATATGATAATCATTCTTTTGCATGATTTTCTAATTAGCTTTTGAAACTCACTAGTTCCTTATATATGTTGAATTACATTGTTGCAGGTTCAAAATCTCATAGAGAGATGTTTGCTTCTAGGCATGGGTAGAGATCAATGCGTTAATGCGCTAGCTATACATGCTAGAATCCTTCCACTCGTAACATTAACAGGTTATTTAGATCTCTATTAATTTCCATTTTGCTAGCGATATCATGCAAAATGCTTTTCGAGAGAAGAATTTTTTGAAAACTTTCGGTTATTATTATTTGGTTATTAATCTTATCATCACTCATCATCATAAACGACTTCTCTTGGATTAATTGATTGTAAATCATGCTTGCAGTGTGGAGAGAGCTTCTGAAGGAAAACAGGGACTTCTTTCAAGTTTACTTCAACAATATATCTTCATGTAATGCCCGTTCATTTATTTACTTTAGATACACATACACATACAAATATATACACTCCACTTAACTAAAAAATGATAATATAACTTAACTAGTACTTACATTTAGTTATTTGTATGAGCTCACGTAAAGTTTCCTTTGGCAGTCAGGCATTATCAAAGAGAGGCAAGATTTGGAAGAAGGAAACAATGGAAATGAATGCAAATTAAGGGACGGATATTAAATATCGAAGAACTAGGGTTTTCTGGGACTTGACATAATGATTACAATTACATTTCTATTTAGGGAGGTCAGCTCTCTTAGTATTCAAAAGTTTATCTTTTTTTCCCTTTCCCTTTGTTAACCTTGTCCTACTTTAGAAATGGCCATTACTACAAAAGATAGGACTCAATAAATGAAAGATAGACGAGGGTCCACATACGTGCTTACTACTATTTTTATTAGGCTATCAATTAATGTATATTTCATATAAATTTACTTGTAATTACCTTATACGTAATATAAATATCTTTTATTTCATCGGTGCATATACGTTATTATTTCTATCGTAGAAGTAATGACATCTAATTTTATGGTCTAGTGGAGTCCCATTCTTTCATTCTTTTGCACAACAGCAGGTACACTGATTTAAAGAAAATTATGTGTTAAACGTTGTAACATTTGATTTAACGCTTGAACTCGTGGTAATCCAACAATAGATATTGAAATTTAGAAGGAAAATTGAAAGTAATCCACGTATACCACTGAGCTTTTATACATGCCTCCTTCCTCCTTTTTAATTTTCTCTATTATCTTTTTCATTTTTTGTTCTGGTTTTTGTACTACAAGAATACCCTTAATTTATTAGAAACTTCTTTCAACAAGCTACATCAATCATTGGTTGACGTCATGCATCAGAAATATTGTTATCATTATTTCACTACTTTTCAAACTTCTAAAAGTTGCAAACAGAAACTTCAGTAACCCATTAAATGATAATGGCATCTTCAACACAAAAGGAAAGTGAAATCAGCAGTTTAGAAAAGACACAATTCAATTCTTCCATTCCAGTACAGTAGGGATGATTGTTATAGCTCTTCATTCATTAGAGGGAGTCATGTTCGAAGCCTTTCTTTCAAGGAAACCATTGCAATCTCTTGGGACCTGAGAGTTTCTTGCAGCAGAAATCTATAAATAAATAAAAAAAGGTTAAATTTAACAGATATGAATGAGTAAAATTTGTCACGATACTCTTTTCTAAATACCAATTAAGGGAAATATCATTAAATATGAGATATGGTGGTTGTGCATCTAACAAGCTATTTAATCCAATCAAAATCAGTGTCATAAATACCATGATGTTCATCAAGAAATGTTCTCATCATTGAACTTTGTAATTGTTTTTAAATTTTATATTAAAAGAATTTAAGTTATATACATTAAGAATGTATTTTTGTTTACGTTAAATATGTATAGTTTAACATATTATCGCCTGTATTTTTTCATCATGTTGCTGATCTAGGATTATCATAAATGTTTTACATGTAACCTTATTAATTATGCATTGTGTAAATAGTTTTTGCACCATCATTACATGGAACTACTAAAACTCAAATCCACGGGTTGAATGACTGCATGCCATGTCTTGGTCCGAAAACGTTTGGGGACAGATGCAGTTAGTACTGATAGCCCTTGGAAAAATTGACTACTACTAAGCAATAATTAAATAATACTCCGTCGGTTTTTAATTTAGATACACACTTTTCGTATTAGTCCGAATTAGATTATATATTCATGTGTAGCAGTTGCTAATAATAATCAAAAGTAGGGGTGTACAAACCGAACTGAAAAACCGCACCAAGTCGAAAAGCTAAACAAAACTGATTAAAAAACCCGACTTGGTTTGGTTTAGTTTGATTTGGTTTGGTATTGAGTAAAGAAAACACGAACCAACCCGACATATAAATACATAATTTTTATATATACTTTTAAGATTTTATATAGAATTTTCTTAAAATATTTCTAGAAATATTTGGGATTCTCTTGCGGGATATAAATTTTAATAGAATATGAAGTGTTCCATATTTATTGACCTTAAATAATGGGTTGTATGATCACTTTCTTATCAAGTGTTACTGAAATACGTCTATCTCTTTGTTTTTTCATATTCATATCATATGTTAAGATCTATTAAATTCTTATATCTTTTTCGAATGTGAAGTGATTATTAATATTTAGGTATCATATTGATTTTTATTTTTAATTACTAAATTCGGTTAAACTGAAAGTGTACGTCGACGAAAATTTATTGTCAAACGACTAAAAAAATAACTATTATATGTTACTAATAGAATTCTCCCATAAGAATATTTTAATCGATAATATGTTTGTCAATTTTTTTATATTTTTACTAAATATATATTTACTTATCAAATATTTAACAAAGTAAGATCGAAATAATATTCAATGAACAAAAAATTCGAAAAATCGAACAAATCCAAACCGATATAGTTGGTTTGATTTGATTTTGATAAAAACCGAACCAACCCGGTTCATGTACACCCCTAATCAAAAGTACCAATTTCTAGTAGGCGATTTATATTGCTTAATAACTTTAGTATTAGCTTATAACAATGTACTTTTTTCATATATGGATTATCACACACGTTTCTACAATCATTATGCAAAAATATTACTCCAATTATTTACCACTTCATTTAGAATATAGAGAGTACCTTTGGCATCTTTCTGTCTCCCAGGCTACAGCTTTCTCTATCTCCTCTATGTTGACTTGGTGGAAAGTGGGCCCACTGAACACAAAACCAATCAAATTTTGAAATATAAGATTTTGCTAAGAGAAGTTTTGTTGTTCATAATTAACATTTAAATAAATTCAACTCACATTTTTTGCTGCGGTACTGAAAGCTTGCTTGTGAGTCATGTTGGGGTATATGGTCTTTAGCCTCTTGATCTCTTCTCTGTAAAATACAAATAATGTTAGTACAGTACTATAAACTAATGGTAATTATGAGTCTTAATGCTCAAACTGAAAATTACTTGATAAAGCAGTTATAAGCTGATGGGGCTCGTTGTCTTTTCTCTGGAGCTGAAAAAATATGATTAGATTCTTATTGTGAGTAACGTAAAAATAATTAATTAGGACAATTTAAATCATCTATACAAATGTCCTTTTCATTTTAGATACTTTACGTTTATTGACGACTTGATAAACTGGAACAACATTCTCTATTTGATCTTCTTCATCTGATGAGGCCACAAATGAGATTTCTGAGTCTACACTCTTCTTATTAGCATCAATGTCCTCCTTGTCAACTTCTAGCTTTTGCTGCTGAAAGCGGGTAAGATAGATTCTAAGTCAATTAACATCGAGAGAAATGTAGGGAAAAAATGAATTTAATGTATATTGACGGTGTAAAACTTATAATTTGCACTATATCAATGTATTTAAATAAGTTATAACAGGTAACATAATTTATTTTTCATGATCGGTCTTTTCGGTGCACGCTTAATGTATAAAAGTTAAACTCAAAGAGATTATGTAAATACGATTATGGTTCGACCTCGGATTGGTTAAGGGAAGCAAAAAGATGAAGAGGAACAAGAGAAGCTTTCATCAAGTTAACAGAAAGGAGGTTAGTGCAATGGCCACATCTCACTGTTACTATCTTATTGCATAAGCTGCTGCATGGGACGCTAACCTGCAATTTTTTGGATAACAAATTAACCGATAAAATATAGAGATAAAGAGTAACTAAAATGCAAGAAAGATATGTAATTTTACAAGTAATATTGTAGTGCAGTAGCCACATTGCACGTAACAGATTGTATCTTGGAGTTCAAACAGATGATTCAATGCTGACATCTCTTCCTCTTCTTCTTCTCCTAATCTTTTGCTGAGAGGGATGTCGTGTTTCGTCTAGAGTTTGAAGTATGGTATGGAATTATTTATACTTAGAGAGGACAGAGGGAAATGCCAGCAATATGTTCGCAAATAATTAAAGAATTTATCATATTCATTCCGCTGATTGTCAAGATTTTGTTTTTTCAATTCGTATAAATCCACTGGTTATGGGTAGTTAAGTTTAATTACCTTTAAAGTGACCTTATCGAGTAAAAACTTTGTGCACTAATAATATAAAGAATTTTACACATGAGTGTATCTTAACCTATGGATCACAAGTTCGATCATTAAGGCTTGCATTATGGTAGGTTGTCTACATCACACATCTTGGGTACAACCCTTCCCCAAACTCTATATGAATGGGGATGCTTTGTGCATCGATTGAGCTTCCCTTTAGTGTATCTTAGCCTGTTAAAGCAGATAACTTGCCATATTTTTCGGATTATCAATCCAACTTTTTATGGAGAATTACCGTTGTAATCTTTTAGGTTTATCTAGTAATGTAAAGATTATCTTACCTATCAGTGTATGAGAGTTAAAATCTTTAAAAAAAAAAAAAAGGTCGTTATTTTTCAAGTATTGAAGAATGAGAGTCGTTATGTGCTGAAAACAACATTTCAGTAGACCTGTGTGTTTGACCAATGTTTTTCCCTTTCTCATGTATCCAAAACTCATTCATTGGTGAATTTAATGATTCAGATTTCTTGAAAATTTCAACTCTTGGTAAGGTTACCATAAGTCCAGCCAGGTTCTCCATGGGGCTAGCTAGCTTGGCTCATGCTTGTTTGTTTAAACAGTAACTTTCATTTCATTTAAAAGGGTCTTTTCATATCCCTGTCTCTCTCTCACTTCTCTGAAAGTGAAATTGCTCAGTATTGGACTCGACACCAATTTTTAAGATCATTAGGCGAAGTAGGAAAGTAGGCATCTGCGGTTGTCTTTCTTGAAAGAAAGTAATATAATTGACCATGAGAAAATGTTAGCCTCCACTTAGTTTTCTAAATTCTATGCATTCAACGATGTAACAAATACTTCACACCATCCCATGATAACTTAAAAGAAGCTAAGCTTATTGGTAGCCCTTTATAATTAGTATTGATTGATAAATCGTGTGTGAAAATGCTAAGTTACTTATATTACAATATTGTATTAAAAACTCATTACATTATTCGTGTATATAATTTAAGAATCCTCTCTTTAATTAATGCAACTTTAATATACTATAATCCTTCGGGTGGACGGATTGGTCGAGCAGGGAACTTTCCAAATGAGAGATCTAGGATTCGAAATCACTTGCATACTGTTTACCCGTAAAACGGTACAGTTAAATTTATACGTGGTTTTAGACAAGTGAACTAATTTGATCCTGAAATAATATAATAATCGGAGAAATACACAGTACTTAGCCTTGGAATGTAGATGAAATAACAAAGATAGTGATTCCATGAACGCGGTTTTCGAACACAGCAATGATGAGATCAAAAAGTAAGAGAGTGAAATTGTATAAAGCTTTGTATAAAATATTGTATATGTTTTTGATAGAAATTTTTGTGTCCTTTACAATAGTAATTGAGCTCACTATTTATAGTTATGCCTAGGGAAAAAGGTCCTAG